TCCTCATCTCCCTCCACTACTGGTTATAGAAAACCTGTGACTGGAAGTCCAAGATCTCTTCTAGATTTAAAAAGCGAGATTTGGAAATTTACAAAACACTTTTCTCTATTAAAAAAAAATAAAATAAAATAAATCAAGCTTTTAAGAATATTATCACTGGAATCTCAGAAGAAAAGAGAACTAATATAAAATTTGAAGTAGGATATTGTACACTTTGACCTAAGCCAGGTTCTTAACTCTGGATGTACACTGAGTCACTGGGGCAGCTTGTAAGAATACTGATGATCAGGTTCTGTACCCTGAGTCCTGTTCCTCAGATTCTAAAACAAGGCCTGGGGAGAAGTATTAAAACAAAACAAAACAAAACTCCCCAGTGATTCTAATTTTTAGCCAGGATTGAGAATCATTGGCTTGAGGCTGTTATGTGTCTTCTCTCTGAATGAGAGGATACCGTTGAGTCCATTTTTGAGGAAAATCATGATTTGCTGGGAATGAATAAAAAGAATTTTAATGTTTCAAGATTAGTATCCTCTTACAACCATTGGACACTCTACAAAGCAGTTATCTGATCAACATTTTCATGTTATCCTCCTAATGATGTTTTTATGTAGATGTCATGTTAACTACATTTAATTGGAGGGAAGTAGAACTCAAAAAGGCTAAATAAGCAACGACTTTATCACTAAATATTGGGGGAAAAAAACCCACCAATCTTGATTCTTGATTTTAATAGTTATAATTTATGACATCATCATTAGTATGATTAAAAAGTTCTTTTCTCTTTTTTTAGAATTAAAAGATTTTAAACATTATGGAAATATATAACCTGAAAAATAAAGGGTTCTCATAATCCTACCTCACAAAGATAATTACTGCTCATGGTTGATGTATACGTCTTCAAATGTGTCCTATTCATATAACATACATCATGAACGACTTATTTACCCAAATGAGCTCATACGATATAACATTTTGAAACTTGACTTTTCCTATAACAATATATCCTACAAATGTATGTGTGAGTTTATGTGTGCATGCATGTGGTATATCTCATTCCTTGTAATGGCTTGTATTTCATTATAAATAACTAAACATTTGGGTTGTTTCCAATTTCTTGCTATTACAGACAATGCTATAATGAACATTCTTATTATAATGAAAATATCTTTGGGCAATTGTGCAAGTGTTTTAGCAAAACTGATTCCTATGAGTAGAATTTCTTACTTGAATAGCATAGACATTTCTCTTTTAATAGAGTTTACCAAATTGCCCTCCAACAGATTGTGCCAATTTACAATTATGTACTTCAACAATATATGGCAATGCTTGGTATCCCCCACCTCAGTACACTGGGTATTATCAATCTTTTTTAAATGTGCTGATCTGATAAGTGAGAGTAAATACCAGTGCTAACTAAATTTGCATTTGTTTGCTTATTGAGATTGAGCACCTTTTTTACACGTGGCTTTTGGCCATGTGTATTTTCTTCTCTGTGAACTACCTGTCAGTGTGTTTTACTCATTTTTCTCAAAGATCAATCAATTTTTCTTCCTTGAATCCTAGAGAAATTAGCTGTTTAGCTATCATATATTATGACGATGACATTATTTATGGCTTTGAATTTTTTCTAGGGTAATGTTGGTATTTTCTAGGGTATGAGTGTATGTTTCTTATAAATTTTAAGTTTTTATTTTTTTAAACTTTTTTTTTTTTTCATGTTTTCCTAAAAAAAGATTCCCTTTCACAATATTATAAATGTATTTACTTATGTGTTCTTCTCATACTTTTGTGGTTTTGTTTTTCTACAGTTAAGTCTTTCATCCACCCAAACTTCAGTGTAGGCAGTAAGGAAGGGATTGAGCTTTACATTTTCCAAATGACTAGTCATTTTCTAAATGATTTAGCCTTTCCCACTGATTTGAAATGCAACTTTATTATGTATAGAGATAGCTAGCTAGCTAGATGATAGAGATAGATAGATAGATAGATAGATAGATAGATAGATAGATAGATAGATTATAGATTTCTATTTTGATCATGTGTCTTTTCCTTTGCCAATCATATACTATTCTAATTTCTGAAGATTAATACTGTTTTGATATCTTTTAAAGGTACTCTAATCCTTGATCCCACTTAGCTTTTATTAAAGAATTTTCCTAGATGTTTCCCCATGTTACTTTTTTCAGCTAATCTTTCAAATAATTTTAATCATATTTAAAAATAAAACAATCAGTTGAGATTGTATTACTTAAACTCTCTCATTTCTCAATCCCCACTGTATCCTGGATATATTGAATCCTAATTCTTCTCCCTGCTTACAATCAGGCTTGGACCTTCCAATTCTCAGCTGCCAAAGTGAGCTTTCTAGTACTCAAATTTAATCATTTCCATTTGCTGCTGAATATCTGTCAAACACTCTATTTGTTTGAGGGTACAACCGAAACATTTCAATGTGGCAGACAGGACCTCCGTCTACAACTTTATCCTGACTTTGTATCACTTCTGTTTCATTCACCACCTTCCACTAGTCACTACAAAATTGTCGGTGCTTCCCAAACAAGCCGCGTCCTCTTTACTCTGTGCTTTTGCACACCCTTCTCCCTGTCTAGACTGCCCTCCTCCACTTTACTCCACTCCCCCTTTTGAGATCAGGTGTCATCTCCTCTGGGACACTTACTTGAAATCTCTTCTCCATTCTACATTGTGTCCTTCCTTCATCAAAATTCCTATTACTCGATTCTGTCAGGATATACTAGACTATTAAAGTTGCCTGTTCATTTACATCTCTTCTCCACTAAACAAAAAGCCCCCACAGGATGCCATCTATTTCTTTAATCTCAGAACTCACCATTTTATATATTACATAATAGACCCTTTATTCATGTTTGCTGAGAAAACTAATCAAAAGTGGCAATGGCTAGGATTAATTTTATATCAATGAGCTTGTCAAATATATTCCAGTCTTAATTCTAGCCTTTTCCAGCTTCTAGAAGCCACCTGCATTATTTTTGGCTCAGGGACTTCCTCCTTCCTTCTTCAAATACAGAAGCATAGCATCTTCCCTTCTCTCTGACCTCCGCTCTCATTCTTACATCTTTTTATAAAGATTTTTATTTAAATATCACTAACATAAAATAGTGTGTTAGTTTCAGGCGTACACCATAATTATTCAAAATTTATATACCTAAAGAAGTGATCACCATATGTCCAACAACCATCTGACACTGTGCAATGCCATTACTATATCATTGACTATACTCCCTATGCCGTATACCACATTCCCATGACTTACTTGTTTTATACCTAGAAATCTGAGACTCTTATTCCCCTTCACCCTATTTTGATTTTTTTAAGTTAAATTTATTGGGTTGATATTGCTCAATAAAATTATATAGTTTTCAAGTGTACAGTTCTATAATACATCATCTGTATATTGCATTGTGTGTTCACCACTCCTTCTGTCACCATATATTTGACCCCCTTTACCCTTATCTGCCTCCCCTACCCTTTTCCTCCAGTAACCATTACACTCTTGTCTGTGTCTATGAGTTTTTGCTTGTTTGTCTTGTTTGTTCGTTGCTTTCAGTTTTATATTCCACATATTAGTGAAATCACATGGTTCTCAACTTTTTCTGTCTGACTTATTTTACTTAGCATGATTATCTCAAGATCCATCCATGGTGTCACAAATGGCAGTATTTCATCTTTTCTTATGGCTGAGTAATATTCCATTGTATATATGTACCATATCTTCTTTATCCAATCATCTTTTGAAGGATACTTCTGTTGTTTCCACGTCTGGGCCACCATGAATAATGCTGCGATGAACACTGGGATTCATATCTCTTTACAGAAAACTATTTTCAAATTTGGGGGTTAGATACCTAGAAGAGTGATTGCTGCGTCATATGTTAATAAGGAGGAGAAGTATACTGCTAGGTGGGTAAGAGAAAAGATGAAGGAGCAAGAATGCTCCTCCAAACCCCTGCTCTATCTAACACCTACTAATAAGAAACAGCACCAAATTCTGTTTCTTCATCTGAAACATGAAATAACTCTAGTATTTACCACACATTTGTGAGTATTAATGAGTGAACAAATGAAAGTTACTTAGAATAGTGATTGGCACATTATATTCATTCAAAACAGTTATAATTATCTCCCACTTGTGAGATTATTATAAAGCTTAAAGAGATAGTAGATAATGTCACAGCACAATGCCTGGCACACAGTAAATTCTCAGTACATTCCAGCTTTTAATTTATCATCATCTATATTATATGCAACAGGTTAAAGAAGTCAAATAGAGTGAAGAAAATGCTCTGTTTCAAAGGTAGGAGCTTAGTGTGGTTCACTCAACTTTGCACCAATAATCTGAATTGTTTCGGGCTCTCTTATTCTTAGGCTCAGCATGGTCATGAGTTAAAAGACATAAAAGGTCAATGTTGCAATGGATAGATTTTATTTATTTCAGTGATGAACTAGTAATAACTGCAGGCTTTTAAATGTTACTATTTTCAATTATATTATTATTTCTTGGAGACTTGATGTGACTTACTGTGAACTCCAGGCAGCATCTAGCAATCTAATGGCTATTTGATTATTTCGGCTTCCCAGATTATTATCATCTTTGTCACATAATAGCCTTTATATCTTTTATATCATAGAATATTAAAGTGTTGATCATTTATTTCCAAGGCAAATTGAGCCATTTCACCCATGTTTATAGTAAATAGAATAGAAACTTGTAGAATCATCTTCCTCTCTCATAAATGAAGCAACAGCAAAGTGGTACAGCATCTCAGCTGTTTCAAGTTCCTCAAATAAGTTTTACTTTTGCAAAACGAACCTCTAACTTCCTACATTCTGTGAGCTGTGTTACAAGCAACATGACCGGCAGCCACGTTTGTTGTAATTTTTTAAATATGTGGAAGAAAAGCAAGATTTCGACCATGTATTACCTTAACCAAGATGCCAAATTATCTAACTTGTTTCTCCAGGCAAGCAGCCCAACAACAGGGACAGCTCCCAGGAGCCAGTCAAGGTTGTCTGTCTGTCCATCCACTCAGGACATCTGCAGGTAAGTGCTGAGCAAATGATCCAATTTAATATTTTTTGGACCTGTGTTTTGTATTCTTGTTTTGCCTTCTGAGACTGTTTGGCTCTTGCTTCTGCCTTACATTGTCCATGGATAATTTATACAGGCTTAATTTTTTTTTCCTTTAGTACATTTTCTTCATTTGATCTTTATTTACCAGCTTCTGGTCCATGCTATCATTTTCATCATTCTCTCTCTCTCTCTCTCTGTTTTCCCATGGCTTTCCTCTCCATTCCCATTTCCCATCCTTTGCCTGCTGCTTTGTCTAGATCTGCCATCTTGCATGATATGTCAGAAGATGCATTTGAGCAATGCACCCCTGTCATGGTGCTGAGCCCTGCTAGGAAGGAGTCTGGTAAGAAATCAGTAAAACAGAGGCCTAGGAGGAGGAGAAGGGCCTCTGAGAGGTATGAGCATGCAGAAGAGCAAATAAAAGGGAGAAGAAATGATTTCAACCTCCAGATCTCAAGCCCCAGATGGAGCGAGCTTTACGCGGATTCTTCAGATTCATCTTCCATAGATGAAAGTCATTGGATTCAGGCAAAAAGAAGAGCCCAAGTTAAATTCCGACTGTCACGAAGAAGGAGAAATAATAATAAATCATGTGGAAACTTGCATGGGTCTTCCTCTCCTAATGAAATTGATCTGGTAGATTTGGGATCCAAAGGTAAAAAGCAGCAAGAGCTAATTGAATGTGAGAGTTGCTCTTTAAATCTCTGCAAAGGAAAAAGCACATGGTACCAAGAGAACAGTCTTTCCCTTCCTAGAGGATCCTTTGAGATTAAGAGATCCTCAAGGAACCATGAAGAAAGCAAAGGCAGATACCACCACAGGGATCCGCAGCTCTTACATAGTCTTAGGCAAAATGAAACAATCAAGAAAAGATTTCCAGAGACAGATTCCAGCACTGAAATGTTGGCAGTAACAGAAGGCGGCAAGTATGTGGATGATGCAGGATTCCAGGTGAATAACTCTGTTCAGAAGCCTCCTGCCACCTACCATGACGTTTCTGATAACTTAGAAGTATGCAGGTCAGTCACTATAGGGAA